TCTTGTCTCGACCCTCAGTCAAAAAAAAAAACCACGACAATGTCTCTGTCCAAATATTTAGGGAAAAAAAACCCACATTTTTTTCTTTCCATACTAAGATTCATTATTTGCAGTATATTTATAGATGTAAATTCAGACACACTGCCAGGAGAGCAGTTTGAGTAGAAGGTAGCTCATTTCTTTAATTCTGTATGGGATCACTGCTCTTTTTCAGCTGGTGAAAGTGAATTGTATGAACTTGTTCTCTGCAGCATCCACTTCCATAAGGAGGTAAACTGGCCGTGTCATTCATGTATCCTGAATCTAAAACATAGACTGCATAATTTATTCAGTCATTTGATGACTGTGGTCCTGGGACCTGCAGTGATCTTTTAAGTCATGAGTGTTTTGCAGCAGTTATCAGAACCATGCTGAACAGTAAAATTTAGAAATTCACTAATATTAAGGGATTCTTCTTGGCTTTCTCAGAAACACAATAAAAAATTGCTGGGAAAAACTAGCTGCAGCAAATTTAGCCAAAATGTTGAGACTGTATTCAGCTAACAAGACAGCCATGTAAGTTTGTTGTAATTTGGAATATGAAACAAGGTATAAAGTGTATTTGAGATAATCTGTTCCCTGATAGGTTTTATTCTAATCTTTAAGAAATTTTCTTAAACCCTGAAACATAAGATTTTATGGTTAATCCTCAATCTTCATTACCATTAACAAGCAAGTCTGTTTCCTGAATCCTGCTATACATGTGAATCTACACATCTTCTCTGAGTATTGCTACAGATGGCATCAACAGCTATCACTGAACACCCTTTCATACTGGTATTACAGGTTAGAGAGAATGGAAGAGTCTGTCAATAGCTAAAGTAAAAGTGAGTAATGCAGGGGAGAATTAAACAGTCCCATTTCTTTTACTCTCTGAAGGCACAAACAGGATATTTTTAGAGATTAGAACTGCAGATAAAATTGAAAAAATATTTTTCCAGTATATATTTTTCAGTGGAGAATTCACTGAAAATTTAAGAAATGGGAACTGCAGTATTTATGTTTTGGATTCCCTGTATCTATGAAGTGTGACCATGACGCTGAGTCTACAATCCGTCTAACAAAGAAATATCTCCAATCCTCTTCCTTCTGCCGCACACAAAAGAGCATTAAAATAGATCTGAGTCATCTTCTTCACCTGGTTATTTTCTTAATGCCAGATTAAGATGGTGTGGTGTTATAATGATAATCAAAGGAGGAAAAAATAAATCCATCAAGTTAAATTTACAGCAAAGAGTATGCATTATATCAATTTTCAGAAAAAAGAGATTGTTTAGTTCAAGCTTAAAAGCAACTGCATGTGCATCAGATTAATTAGAAATGTAAGTGGCTTCACCATTATTCCTTACTCTATCAGTTTGTCTCTCTTGCTCCCTTTCTCTTTATTTGAGACCTCTCTTTCTTTATACTTGATATTGGATGTTCCTTCACAGTAAGTTGATGGTTATGTCTAAGCTCTACTAAATAGAGGAAAACATATGTAATTTTAAACAACAGCAATAATTCTCAAAATATTTACCTTAAACGATTTGTATCGTTCATCGTTTAACACTTCTTTAGCTCTAGAACTCTCTCCTTCCTCAATAATCTCCTAAACAAAGAAAAATGTTATTAAAAAAAAAAAAAAAGATTATGGTAAGATATAGTAAAATAATCTAAAAGAAAGTCTTATCAACCTATAAAAACACAAAGAGCATCCTTAGCAGGCATATTGTTTTATTCCATTAGGATCAAATTCTGCAATCCTCTTTGAGACAGAAAATTATTGAAGGATGAAGAAGAAACTGGAACCACAGAATAAATTTCACAGTACTTATTTACTCATACATTTACTCAAGGATGAAGTAGAAACTGGGACCACGGAATATATTTCACAGTATTTATTTACTCATAAATGCACAGCCAGAAAGTAGTTATTTATCATAAGCTATCAATGAGTTGTCCTGAAAACTAGTTTAGTTTACTTCTCTTAAAAGTTAGAGCATTGTAAGAACAGACATATTTTCTCTTGAGTACAATTCTTTCAGTCTTTCTGACAAAAACTAACAAAGAAAAAACCTCACAAAAAAAACCTCTAAAATCATCCTATTTTCTGTGGGATTGTAACCAAATTCCAAGTCCCCAGGCAGTAGGTATATAGAGCACTTCAGAGGCTACATTCTTAACTAGTGGAGTGAGGCAAACAAGGAGCCAGAGTGAATCACAACACTCGACAATGACCTCACCAGACAGCTGAGACCTCCTGATCAGCTGCCTGCTAGAATAACAGCACCTGAGATGAGGGGTCCTGAAAAGGCTAAGAATTCAAGAAAATTGCAGGGAATACGCAAAGCTCCAGTAAGAAGGTAAAGTTCATCCACCACCTAGATAAAAGGCTCTGCTATAACTCATAGCGAGGTGGGATTTAACATTAAAGCACTAAAATATTTACCAGCTTTGCAAAAATAGTATTTCTAATAAAGCATTCAGGAGAGCAAAGGGATGTTGCCAAGGGCAGAAGTCACATGAACAAAACTATTAACAGTTAGCTTTTCACATCCAAATCAGAGTGAGCCTTTAAAAATTACATACAAAAATGATACTGCATTACTTACTAATTTGTATTTATTCTTTAACTATCTTTATTCCTCAAGGCAGGGGTTCCATGAAAGAACCTTACGTTACTACAAAAGGTTTCCAGAAATCATTGCTTTCTTAGTAACAAGGATAATATAACATTATTACAGGAAACATAGAAGGTTGTGTAAATACACAGATATCAGTGCTGCACTCTGTGATCTCTAAAAGTACATCTGTAAAAGAATCAATTGGCAGATAGTTATGAGGGACATTACCTCAATGACATCTCTGACTTGGTCTCCCATGCAGGGCAATCCCTGTATATCTTTCATTCTGGTTACTGGAAATGGAAGAAATTTCAGCACAGAAGCTGCTCTCAGAAATTCCAGGCAAAATATTTCATTTTCTTTGAACTCATAATTTTCAGCCATTATCTCAAAGGCATCCTGGAGAGAGGGGAGCGGAGAGGTATAGAAAAAAAGTTAAAGCTTAATAAAAGCTTAAACTATTCCGTATACTCCTTAGAAAGGTTACTTCGTATGCTAATTCAAGAATGATTTCTTCATACCAGAGTGAAAAGACAAAGTTCATTAAAAATAAACCAGCATAATTTTCTAACCACTTGAAATTTTCCAGGTATCATAAAAATTGTATTTTAGAGACAAACGTGGGAAAAGATTCTGATCTGTAAAAAGGCCAAACTTTAAAATCTTTTGAGAGAGACACTTTCCGTATTATATGCAGATCTAATAAATCAACACAAAATAGCACCCTAATTTTTAGATTTGTGCCCAAACATTAGAAATCCAGCAGGTCAGTACACAACATTAGAAATTCAGCAAGTCAGTACACGACAGTTCAGACACAACCAGATAAGAGTCTCTGGAAATACTGGGAACCTCCTCCTTCTTTTTGAACTTGTAACCATGCTTCTGTTTAGTAACTTAAGGAATAAACTTGCTTTTTCCTCATTTTTGAGATGTATGACCTACACAAAGAGAAAAGCCTTTTCTTTATGATTCTTCAGCTACCCATGGCTTAGTTTATTTGACATTGCACTCAAATCTACCTGGAGATTGCCAGTACAAGTTGGTGTTTGTTTTTTTTTTCAACTATCCATATGTAATTTATGCAGCTTTGAATTCTCCCTCACAGGGAAAAAAAAAAAAAAAGAGACATCACGCAGCAATTTTTAGAAATTAAATGCAGGGAACAGATCGCACAGTGGTAGAGAAGAGAAGTAGGGTTTTTGTTTCCCATCGTAAAATACTATATTTTGGGAGACAAAAATTGCTGCAAAAAAACGTTTGTGAACAACCTAAGATAAGATCTTATGAAGGCTTGCAGCTGATTAGCAGCTGGAAATCCGAATTCCTAATGAGATCTTGCACAAAACCTCAAAAACTTTCAAGACTGCAAAATTAAGTGGTTTCTTAAGAGATTTTTAAGAGCGTACCATTTCCAGAAGAGACTTTGACTGTTCAAAATATTTATCTAAAACGCATCCCGCACCTGGCTGTTTGGAATGCTTTGGTACCCCATGGCACAGGGCAGGCTAGGTATGGACCAGAAACAAGCCAGCCTTGCAAAGCTCCCACACTGCCAGAGACCCCATTTCTTACTCTTCAGCCTGTCTCTCAAGAGCAGCTAACAGATCCCAGCCTTGAAAGAGCCATATGTTCCACTACATCAGTTGCTGCATATCCTTCCTGTTTCCCAACTTAGTCCTGTTTCTTCACGAGGCATTACAAAATAACAAAGGAGTGGCTGTCAGTGTGCATCTGCCTGCAATTATCACTTCACAGAGCTGTAGTCCAAGTGTCTGTTCAGAAATGTTTTTGAAATAAGGGTGAGTAACACCCTGTAATACAGATATCAAGAGGCAGCAAATAGCTTACTGGAACAATGACTGAAGTGGATAGTAGTAAAGAATAAGATTAAACAGCTTTTTCCTGCCCTCAGTATTTATGATCACTGTTCACATTTAGGCTCAGATTTAACTGCATTTGTAATTAAATGTATCATTATACAGTTTAAAGAAAAATAATTTTAGATTTTACTTTAATTTTTATCTTATCATTAATGTGACCTATATTGGAAAATAAAGCCAGGTAAAAACCAAAATGCCTTTCGCATCCTAAACGCTACATGTGTAACATTTCTAGGTGAACTAGAGTCAGTTCCAAGCTTACTAACTGATGTGACAGCAAATCCAGTGAAGTCATTCATTTCTTACATCTGTGGAGCTTAGAACAGCATCTGTCACCTTGCGTTGAAGAAATATGGCATGATTTAAACAACAGCAAAAATATTTCACCTGAGTTACAATCATTTAAATCATTAATAAAGAACAACTTCTTAAAATTAAATGTACTTTTCACAATAAATGTAGATTATTTACATACTACATTTCATTGTTCAATCAGCTCTAAAAAAATGGACCATCTTATGTGTTGTTCAAAAACACTATAGTCTCACTGAAGCAAAATGAAGGTTTTAAAAAGAATCTTCAAGAAAACATTGTCTCTACTGACCCTAGGATTTGTAAAACTTTCCTCTTAACAAATCAAAAAAATGAAATCTTAACTGGTTTGCTAGTATCTCTTTAGAAGAAATAGGTACCTTAGCTGAACAAAACAACTCCACTTTCCTTTCTTTTTTCCCTGTGCTACCATATTAAAGCATATAAAAATAATTAATTAGGGCTTGCTACAGAGAATTTGCTTTGTTCTGTATCATCAGTATAACTTCACTCCTTGATCTCTGTAAGGATCAGTCATCTGTTGTCCATCTTCACTGGAAGAATCCTTCCTTTAGTTGCATATTTATTTATCAGCTACCCTGATTAGTAAGTGCTGTGCAATTCCATTTTCATAACATTTCATGAAAGACCTCTTCAAAGAGAGAGCTGGTTAAGAAGATGCTTGATTTGGAAGTTTCTACCAGTATTTACATTCAGCTAGCCCTCAGGTATAAGGAATCAAAGAGAGGGGGAGAATGCTCCTTTGAGAAAGAAAAAAAAAAAAAACAAAACCAAAAAACCCCACACACCAAAAACATTCTATTACAAAAAACAGTGCTCAAAACCTTAGCTTCCTTCAAGCTATCTTTAAAGCTCTTGCAGTGGCTAATTGTTGGATTTATTGAACTTCTATTCTTTTTTATTTTTTTTCCCCACATTTAAGATCTTTATTTGCTTGACAGATTACGTTGTATTTAATTACATACTTTCTAGTTAAAGACAGGTGCACATTATAGATCCCATTTAGAAAGACAACTAATGCAGAAAAAGGGGAAACTGCCAATTTGAGGTCACAAGCAGCATAGATCCATCCCAGTTTGCATATGGAAGAACAAATACAGCATACACAGTACTGCAAAGCAAATGGGGAATATATATTTTACATGTGGGGTGACAGAAGTCAGATATTCCTCTTCTGTGGGTTTTTTTTGGATGTTCTCTCAAGTTGTTATTCTTTTCACTCTTATCAGCTTCAAAGATTCTTTCCTTCTAAGTAATAAAAGATTCTAATTCTTGCTTCAAGTGAGGTTTACAGTCACAAAATTATGATTTCTTTTGCTTTCTTTTCTCTTTCAAATCTGTGCACATGAATACTCAAGAAAGCAGTGTTTGGCAAGAAATTTCTTACTCCAGTTAAGAGTAGCAGAGTTAATCAGGGAATAGAACCAAAAAGATATAGTTGCTACCTTCTTGTCAAAATAGTCTGTACAGACAAATACATAGACAGAAAACAGTTCTCAGAAGTATCTCCTCAGCAATATCTAGTCATGACAGAGACTGGCAAAGTTGTCTTCTTGACTAGGAAGCTCAGAAAGTCTAGGGATGTTTTTTCTCACTCCCAAGAAGGAGCCTCTCATATGCACATTTAAATAGATGTATTCTACAATGAATAACCAGCCATTATAATAAATGTGTCTGCATGTACCAGTACCACTGCTGGTTTAGAGAGGTATAGTCCCTTTCTGCTGGTAGGAGGGCGGTTTACAAAGAAGCTGTGTCAGCACCATTATTGAAAATGACAATCACATGTAGCTTTTTACTCAAAAGCTGTTGACAGTCAATAAGAAAATATAATCAAAGCATTTTTATCATTCTAGTTTGCATATTTCAGTGTTTCCTGCCTTTGTAAATCTCATTAAGCTATTGTAAATAAACAATTAAATAGTACTGAATATTCATTATTCCCTGTACGAAACACTGCCTGCAAATGCTGCAATTAATTACAGATCTGTCTTTTTGCATAAAACTGCTTTTGACATCCTTTTTGATAAAATCTTTCTGCTTTAAAAAAAGAAAGTAACTGATCTCCAAGTGGCATTGCTGTCTATTGAACACTATAGTCCATATTGAATAGTATTCCAGAGGGGAAAAGCACATGAAACTCCTTTATTAGCTGAGAAAAAGCTTGCAATCTATTAGATCTCTGGTGAAATCTGCTTATGGTGATGTCAAAAGTAAAGCTTACTGACCCTTCCTTTATTCTAAACCTTCATACTTCTTACAGTAAGCACCTCACCATCTTTTTATCAATCAGATCAATACTCAGATTGCCTGTTTAAAAGGTACTAGTTTAATAGGAAACTAAATTTCTAAAGATTTCCAACATGTGGGATTTTTATAATCTCCAGAGTATTCTGCAGGGACTGCTCTAACAAAATGTGAAAGATAGCTGGGCTGCATTTCAGTTCTTCAGTTATTGCGAATTTTCCATCTATGTCTGAAATTGTGAAATATATGTTGGTGAGACTTGAGCTATGGAAAAATATGGGGATGGAATGGACTTCCAGGTCCCAGCAGGTTAGATACAGAAGTACACAAATATTTGGTTGAATTATGTTAAAAATAAGGAAGAGGATGGATATACTGACAGAAATTTTGAAGCTCATTTAATATCTGGTATTTAAAACCTAATAAGATAAAATATGATTAACAAAGCAAAGTTACCAGTAAGCATCTTCCGCATGTAAAAATGCATACTAAAGTATTATATTATAAATGCTAAAAAACACAAGATTGAAATCAAGACAAACAGCAAGATTCTCAATTAATATATGAGAACGATTCTTGGAAAAAAATAATGATCAATAATGCTATGCTGGTTTTTGTCTGCTGAACAGCTAACTCAATAATAACTTTCAATATGAATATCAGAGCACATAAGTCACACTGACAAAAGCAAAAGAAGCTAACAGTCCCATGCCATGCTTCGTGCTCTCTCTGCTTGTTCCAACAAGACTGTCAAAGCAGTTCCATCGCTACTTCCAAAATAGGCTGTAATAACCTCAGTTTAAGACTGCGAGGACAGAAATCACCAATATTATACTACACCAAGAGCATATTTTAAATCTAATCTGTTTTTCAAAGAAAGCATTGCAGCTTCATGGACCAGGCACTTGTCTTATTCCCGTGCCAACACCCACTGTT